AGCCAGACACAAATCTTTTTTGGCATCTGTCCTCGTGATGTGTCCTGGTCCTTTCTCACCATGCACGACAAAGGCATTCGCTGAGTCTCCTCCAAATGATACACGGACGCACTTTTCATAGTTCAGAGGAAGGTAGCAGTCCGAGGGCCACTGCTTTGCACCGTCTACATCCATTTGGATGGCACTGGCATTGGAACTCCAGGATTTCAAGTCATCCGCAGAAAGCGGACGTGGACTTGCAAGAACGTCTGGAAGGTCGTTGACGTGGATCAGCACTGGTCCCAGGACGGAGCCTTGGGGAACTCCAATGGAGACCGGCACTGGAGAAGCGTAAGTCGAGTCCCTTTTCACTCGGAATATTCTCTCCGATTGGAGCGCCTTTATCCAGTGAAGGGTTTTCCCTTGAATCCCGTATGACTCGGGTTTGTGGCGCAGAGGTTCGTGTGAGACCCTATCAAATGCTTTTGAGAAGTCGAAAAATATGGCATCCGATATGAGTCCTTCGTCCTTGGCTTGGGTTAAGCTGTCCATAAACACGAGGATATTTGTCACACAAGAGCGGCGTTGGAGAAATCCGTGTTGAGCTAAAGCTATCAGTTTGCTGGAAGGAAGGTGATCCAGAATAGCTAGCTTCAGAATGCGTTCTGTCACCTTACACGGCACGCTAGTTAGGCTTATATCCCCGTGGATGCCAGGCGATAGTCGGTCACCAGTTCTGTAGATTGGCGTGACAATCGCTTCCTTCCAAGCAGAGGGAAGGCGGCCTTCGTCAAGCGACCGATAAAATACCAGGTGTAGATGATTTGCCGGTGTGGATGACGTTTCTTTCAGGATCCTTGGATGGACCTCGTCGGGCCCCGACGCTCAGAATGGGTTGATCTTGTGCAAGAGTTGACGGATGGCCTCCACTGTGAAGACCAGGTCGGCTAGAGGCTGTTCGTAATTCCGCGTTGACAAGAGTGGATGTAACGAAGACGCTGGGGCCGATTATAGACCCACATAGTGTTCTCTGTAAACCTCAGATACCACTGTTGGGTCATTCGTCGGTTATCCGTTTCTGCCCCTCAAGGAAAATGCGGATGGCTTGTTTCTGCGGCGGTGTCTCATGTATTCGAACAAGACCTTTTGTTTTTTTGAGTGAGGTCTAGATTAGTGGCTTGTTTTCGTGTGTTCTATTTGCGAATTTCTGATTTACATTCATATCGCTTTACCAATAACAGATTCAGTGCTACCATTATCATTGAAGACACAGTGGACGCGCTGGGCTTGAAAATATACGAATGCATGTAATACTTTGCCATTCCTGGCTGGCAAAAGCTTGATATAAGGGGTCAGCCCGGTTCAACAGGTCTTTGTTCGGAGATGGCCAACTCTTTGAGGGATAGGCTGACTTGGTTTAGCATAAGAAAGCCTAGAAATAAATTTTATCCCGAAGTTAAGGGTTAGCCCTGGCAGTTTTTTAAATGGTGTCACCATCCGATAGGCCCATGAGTATCCTACTCGACCCGACACGTCCATTACCTGCTCCAGGTGTGAACGTTAAAATACGTGGGAAGGCCAACCAGATGCGGTGAAATCTATTACTTCACACCCCCAATACCGTGATAAAATTAGTTCATGTGCAGTGTACAAGCTAACTGGGGCCAAAGAAGGGCTGTCGTCCAAAAGCAAGCAACTTTCGAGTTGCGGTTTATAAATGTTAGTTCAAGAAACTGGAAAATGTACGTCGGATAAGGCAGAGTTTTGATAATGTTCTGAAGACCCAAGATCGTCAATAGAGTATCAGAGGAGAAAACCGTGAATGACTTAATCTTGGTTGAAAAGTGACATTGCTGTGAAGCATCGCAAACAAGAAGATAGCGACAGCCTTCAAAACCAGCGTAGGCCAGCATCATATCCCTGGACTACCGTATGCATGGTTAATTTGCGAAAATGGTGGAATCCTCCACAAGTATTTCAGGACGTTACCGGACGACTGACGCAACACGGACAAATACAGACAAACAGTTGGTTGCAATGCTTTTTTAGGTTTCCCAGATCGTGGTCCGACATCGAATCAAGGGTGACGGGCGGATTACTCGCGCTATCAAACAAATAGCATGTATGCAAACACGCCAGGGTGAGTTGGATCGGGAAGTAGTCGTCTCGAGGAATTTCAATCTCGTGCACCTACCAGGCTCGCAAACTCGGTAACCGTCCATCAGTCAAAACCGCTCCTCATACATTAATAGTGAGCCCAATTGACCAGACGCTCAAACCTGTAAGGTAGAAAATCAGGCCTACAAAACTTAAAGATCATTTTGAACAAGGAAAATTTGACTACCTTTAAAATAGGGAAATCGTGATGGAATCAGAGGACTAAGCGGTAATAATAACGTGCTTTTATCTCAAGTTGTGTGACAAATCACATTTAAAGCGTTATCAAGTAGTGACAGCGTTAAACGGATTGCTTAGGGCGAATAAAAGGAAGAGACGTAGTTTGGTCACAATAGTGGGGACGCCAATAGGGCATTCGTCCAAACCACCACGGCCAGAATGGGCGCAACAAAATGTGATGCATAGGGCTGAGTCCTTTGAGCTATCTCACGAGAATTACTGCCATTTTGTATCACCAGAGAGACTTTGAGCGTGTTTTTTGCAGTATACATAGAGGATGTACTGTGGCGCTAATGAGTGAGGAGAAGGTTGTTTAGCTGGCTCTCGGAAGATTATAACACTTTGGTGACAAAAGATGATGGAATAAAAAGGGAACGGATGGCTCGTTTAAGGTAGCTGGAGGTTCTGGTTAACCAAGCTACAAGTAACCTAAAGGTTAAAAACGAATGCTGAGATGATGAAGGCTATGGTGGAATGAATATTATATTACTAGTGTTTGAGGGTTTTTTGTATGGCCCCATGCTTTATGAAAAACATAGAAACAACAGAAGCAACAGAAATTAATCTACCGCTTATAGGGCCAATAGGCATCACTGACCATTTGCTAGGAAACAGCAGGAGGTATGGTGGAAATCCCGCGTACCACGGTAGACTTTCCAAAAGAAAAAAGTTTGGTAATGAGAGAGGGAGTGTGGCTTAGTAGAGCGGAGTCCTGTAAAGACAAATCCGTATGGCGTGGGCTGTTGCGGAAGGACGTTTGGATTTACAAGCCAAAAGACGAGACTCAAAATCCGACCTAGTGGGTGCAATTCAGATACATAAAGCGCGTTTGCCTCAGTCTGTATTGAAAGCTATGGGTGGATGAGTGGCTGATAAGCCTGGCAAATGGGAGCAAAAATCTGGAGTGGCGTGCGTAATAAGCGATGCGGCGCGGAAGCTTAGCCCAGGTTTCAGCAGCGTAGGCCTGCCGATTAATGGGTTATTGTAGAGCACTGAGGCTGGGAGGGACCCAGCTCAACAGAACAAAGTAACAGTGACAACTTTTTGCGCATGAATTGCGAAATAAGCGTTTGGCGAACGTGCTTTGCACAGCATGCACAAGATTGTGGCTCCACTATTAATGCTGTCGGAATCGACTCTTTAAAATAGGGCTTAAAAGCTGTTTATGCTGCAGTCAATTGGACAGCGGATGAAAGCGAAGGGCAGGTGGTCTCTGGTTACTCTGTAGGAAAGGTGGTTGGAAAACGCGAATACAGCGGGAGGATCCAAGATATAGGCCACCTACTTCAGCAAGAGTCAGGATTGAAATATGGTTTAAAATTAACGTCCTTGGACGAAGCCGAATTGGATGCTGTGGAGTCTTTCAATCTGAAAAAAATATTATTCAGAATAAGACGGCTATGGGTAGAGGAATTCTAGATTAAACCGGGAGCTAGATAAATCCATGGCGGACTTTCTGAGCTCACTGCGAGTGCTACCCTAATATGGCTGGAAGATCAAAACAGAGGCTATCCACGAGGTTACGTATGTAACTTCCCTGAAGATCGGAGAGTCCATCAGGCCCAATAAACTGGACTCTTTCTGTGAGCTAAGAAGTGGACCACTGCAAATGTGGGTCATCAGTGGCAGTAGATTGTGGGTTACCGCAACAGCCTACTACGGAGCGTTATGAAAATCAAAGGAACGGCACTGAAGCAGGAAAAACGTTGTTGAGGATAACTGCAATAATGCTTTTGCAGTAGTTGGATAGGCGTTGAATAGACTAAAACAGGGTTAGTGATATGCAGGTGGTCAGCTTTAGCAATAAGAGGGAAGGCGCCGTCAAAACGCACAAAATTTGAATAGCCTAGGCAACTGGCTGTGGGTTAGGCCAGGAAAAGGTAACTATAGTAAGCAAAAGGCAGGTTTAGTTTGGCAGTGGAAGTGGTCGCGACGGACTTAATAGAAGCAGTTAGTAAAATATCTGAAGGTATAAAATAGGCGGGAAGGATACTCCAGCTTTCGGCTTCAGGTCAGTGATGGTGAAGCTGGACTTTTTTCAGAGGTATGAATACTTGGGAAGCAAGAAGGTGCAAATGACTGAAAAATATCCCACCAACTGTGGGCAAAAAATTTAGTCCACAGCTTTCGGCTGATCACGTTTGCCACGCTTGTCAGTACCAGACCCATATAATAATATGGTGCTTATTCCCAGCTGGTGGGTGGCACACCGTCAGGCATGATCATGATCAAGATAGAATCATGATTATTGGCATCTGTGTGCCCTTGATTGTGCGGAAACTATGCCGTCATACAAATGGCAATTATCCGACGCAGGTGCGGTAATGCCTAAACGGGCACAATAAAAATGTGGTGGACATCGTAGGCAGAAAGACACATTCATTAGGATGTTTTTATATTTCGTGGGACATGTCAACTAAAGCAAGATGGGTCATTACAAGTTGAAGATGTTGGGCAGCAACACGATTGGTGAAGGCAAAACAAGAGGCATCCTGCCGGGCACGTGTCAAGAACGACGGATCTGGGAAGCAACACTGTCGTGGTGAACCAAAGCAAAACCATTGCTGAGGCTAGGCAGCATTAGACAGTTGAGTTTGTGATAAGGGGCACAAAAGGCATAAATGGGATAATGAACCGGGGAAATTCGCAATGCAACTACATGGAAGCTTAATGTTAGAAGCACGGTAAAGAGTGAAACTGTATAAATGAACTGGTGTCGCTGCTGGAGTGAAGTTGGGTTTGAAAGTACACTGGCAGAGTGAGTTGGTACTAACGCATAGGACAGTACGCAGAATAGATAGTTATTAAGTTGGCTGGGAGAAAAACCAAAAGTCCACTAAGATGGCTAGATTCAGATGAATGATTCAGCCGATCACAACGAATTTGTCCCAGGGGTCGCTGGGGCTAGGTAAAGAATTTTTTCATGACTGCAGACAAACGGATGAGTGGGTGAGAGTGCGCAGTCAAGAGTAGGAAAGGAATTTTTGTGCGCATGCAGTGTTACTGGGTATACCCGTGGCGGCCATCGCTTCGCTTATGCACTTTGGTCTCTGTACAGCCCCAACTGACGTCATGTTTGAGTTAATATGACTGGGGATGTGCAGTTCTGTAGGCAGCGGGATTTTGGATTAAAAAAGAAGATTCACAGTGGTAAGACAAAGCTGATGAATGATCACAGGTTGTTTCTGTTAGATTGGAGATCTCTTCGGATGCAAAAGCACAGGCCAGGTAAAGTGGATACTGGCGTTCAGGGCTTAGGAGGAGGAGGAGCGAATGGATGAGGTCATAAAGGCCCGGTGAGCTTGAGGAGGCATGAAATAGTATGGAGTTCACTAATAGGAACAACAAACTAAAGCTCACTAAAGACAAGGTGTTGACAACAATTGGCTAAATGAGATAGGATAGGGGTATGCTATGCGTAGCAACCCTTGCCAAAATTTCACTAATAGGAACAACAAACTAAAGCTCACTAAAGACAAGGTGTTGACAACAATTGGCTAAATGAGATAGGATAGGGGTATGCTATGCGTAGCAACCCAGGGTTGCCAAAATCTATAACCGATGTAGACAGAACCTCTTTAATGGTGGACTGGCTTATCTGGGATTAGTTTGGTGAGTTGGACAGTACCATAATTCTGGATGGAAAGTGAATTTAAGGGAAAATGTCACCAGTTTTCATTATACTGCTATCAGTTTCAGTTAGTGGCGCTTGGCAGAAATATCCCACAGGCGCTAGTTTGAATGTTACATATGTATATGACCGTTCTTGTGAGCAGCAGAGGTGTGCTTTATTTTTGGTTGACAAACTGGGCTTCGGTGCGGTTTAACTCCAGACAAGATGAGAGGAGTCATGGCTTTGGACGTCTATGTAAGCCGTAGGCGCCTCAGGGTATCTTCAGTCTATCCTAAGTACATCATTTTTGAAACGATGATGCGTTCGGATACCCACCACCACTCCAGCAGCACGGGCGCGTCGTTTGTCGCTTGGACTTTGATCCAGGGAACCCATAAAAACTGCGTTTGTTTTCTGTTTGTTACTGTTGGTGATGAGCTCGTCCTATTTTTTTAGTTATCTGGTAACGCCACAAACAACATGTGGCGAAAAGTGACCTATCTGCAAAAAACTTTAAAAGAACACATGGGGTAGGCTGAAGATACTCTGCGATGCCAACGGCTGCCATCGACATGCAAAGCTGTGGCTGCCTTCGTCTTAATCGTGGTTGCATTACACCAAAGCCCACATAGTCGACCAAAAAATTACATGCCTATTCCTTCCAGGATTGGATACATGCAAAAAAGAATAATATGCACAATGAGATTCATGAACCCTCCCAGTGGCAGCGTAAGAGATTGGCGCTTAAAAACTATTTGCCCCGTACCACTCGCTGGTTGAAGCTGGTAGCCATACCTCGGGGACCGTTTCTCGTTCTTCCTATATTCATTCCCCCCTAGATAACGGTATCATCCAAATCACGGGATAGCCCTCTGAAAATTTAGTCAATCCTTCTGAAGTTTCTACCCTTGTCAACTCTTGTGTTTGATTTTCCTTAAAACATCACGTTTCTGTGTACTCAATCTTATTTTGTCTCTGGTACTACAGTAGTTTATATTGGAGGGCACAGACAATCTTTGATCGCTAGGCTACTGAGAACACATCTACCTCCACCCTGTCACTTGTTGTCACCTTTCTACTTGAGGCAAGCTTTCAGTCTTATCCATATCTTTGGATGTAATTCTATGTGATGCCTCCTAAAACACATCAGGCCTTGGTGATGTCATCCCATTCCTTCTTCTTCTTCTTCTTCTTCTTCTTAAGCTTTGACCTCCGGCTACACCTGATTCGGACGCCCTGTTTGGCTGTTATCCATTCCATCTAACCGGTGCTTTACACAAGGAGGCAGCCCCATCCGGGCCAAAAATACCTGTGAAATCACATAGGCTTTGTTCAACATCCGCGAAATCCCTGGGACAACCCACCGAAAAATACCGCTACCCACAGAATTTCCCGCCACCTTCGAGTCTTGATGATCTGATCTTGTCTCAGCTTGACATTTTCCCTAAAAGTAAGATAGACTCCTGGTAACCAAGTTTGCTTTTCCATGCCGGCTTAGACGGGACCAAGTCCGTATCGGATAATGCCCGCTGTTTATGACAGTTTCCTTTCCTTCGCGCAATTTTTCGCACAAACAAAATTCCCAAGTCAAGCTTTATTCTGGCTGAAATCGTATGACCACACCTGGCGGTACGACACCCACTGATTGGGAATAAACATTAATAACATAATTATTATGCCTTCTCACTCTTGAGAAATATACTAAATCCCCTGAAGACGCATTGCATACACATAAAAAATAATAGTTATGATGTTTAAACGACTGAATGGCCTATACGCCACAAATACACATGCCATCGTAATGCATATTTTCCTGACATGATGGTCAACATTAGCGCTCATCGTTCAACCCTTATGAGCAAGCTCTGAGCATCTACATTCTACTTCCATTGCTCTAGTGGTGCATTTTCGTTCATCACTTATGCGAACTACTTAGTGCACCGGATGATTTTTGTTGGCTTTTGTAACCGACAGAGCCGTTCCACTGGCCCCGGTTTCCCTTTGATCAGATAAGATATATGAGTGCTGGACTTTATGGCCAACGCATTATCCGCAATTATTTATTTGTAGCTTGCCACTTTACAAGGTGGATTGAAATATTTCGTGGTGTCTGCGATGAGTCTGCAAACTAGCCACAGCTCCAGTAGCGCCGGTGAAACTTTCATGACTGATAGTGCTCAGGATGGAAGTTAATTAGCAAACTCCATAAAGAAACATCTTAGCAGCAGATTTTGGCTTGTCCCGGTTCAGTCAAAAGTCTGGTAACACTCTGAGATAAAGACGAAAAAACCAAGCATAACATGTACGCATGTGGCTCCAGTCAAAGGGCTTCATATTGCCTAAAAACTAGCATCCTTGGGCAATTTTGGCCGTAGCTTGAGGTTACCTGAATGCACTCTATTCTTGTCAGAGAGAAATTCACACTTCTTTGCGCAGTGGTGACACGGCACTGTCGTGCGCAATCGACCGTTCCCCTGATACATCGGTTGTCACCTCTGTACATCTAGAACTCTTGATTGCAAATGTGAACCAATAGCTTATCCAGACATAATCGCCAGTGATATGGGTGAGCTTTGATCCACCAAACTCTTTCATTATGGCGGTCACCACCTATAGAGCGTCCCATTCATAATTGGAACGATGCCTGCAGCTAGCTCGTGACGCCTTATTGTCTGCAGGTTGGTTATGCATACCCAGGAGACTGATCATCCACAGATGGCCAACGCATCGCCACTGCACAGTTCATGCTGTTGTCTAATTTTGCTGTACCTGATGGAAGTTGAGATCCATGAGAAAATCTGGTGTGAACAGGCTCGCCGTACAAAATATATTTTGCGATTGTAGTTGCATTTGTCAAATCTGAGGAGCGTGAAGCAAACAAATATCAACAACCGATCTTCCGGGGTGAAATCTGCATTGCATATTGTTTGGGTGTTTTTTACTCTCAAGACAGGAAAACGCCAAAATATGCTGGATTGCGATTTGGTGTCTTAAATCACGTAAACCGGCAACAAAATATGAATCGATCATGATCCTTGACCTTGGCATTTCGCTCACTTAAACAGAATGCTACGAGTAACATGGCACCGGAAAGTGCAAATGAATTAGACTAACTCCCCGTTAAAGGCACAACCCCGATAACCCAACAGATTCGGCGAAAATAATTTTGGTGTGCAAATAGCCGGCGGCAGGAAGCGTTAACTGAGTACAAAAAGCATAACTGTGAGGTATTTGTGCGTACATCCAGTAACCAAAGCACTGACGGTTATCCGCGTTACTACAGATCTGCAAGACATACGGATGGTCGTGGAATCCGAATAAACTAGTAAGCTTAGCGTATTTGCTATTAACGAACCGACGCTTTCATCTAAGGAGGTAGGCAAACCATCACTTGGTCACTTCATACCATCTAGAGCACAAACATAAGGTTTCTAAGTTTTCATATAAATGGTTTCCGGTGAACTGGCGGTTAACCGAAGAGAAGTTGAGCACCCGTAAGGCCTGCTTGTGAAGTGTGTGAAGTGCACCAAATCACCCAGGCGGACAATCTGCAGAACATTTTATTATACATAGCTATTCAGTGGTAACCCTGATGAAGTTGAAGCTTTCGGGAAATTAATTCCAATGGGCGAATACTGAGCGGCAAAATTTTGGCTTTGCTTACTTATTAAAGATGCATGCACTACAACGGGTTCTTCCTCCGGAAGCAGGCCGATACTCTTATATGTAATACTACAGCTCTAACCCTAACACATGCTAAGCGCCCCGTTGAGTTTTCTAGGAGTGAACTGGACACTGTCATGAACCTTCAAACGCAGGTGAGACATTTTACTTTACTACAAAGGTAGGATGTTGAACGGACATGAGTGAGCAGCAATTCCAGAACTCGGCTAGTGGCTTTTGGTTAGAACAGACCGGTGAATATGTACGCCAGTGGATAAAGTCAAGAGAAATTAGACGGAATATTAATCGGACCAGCAGGTTTAATACAGTTGTTGACCACTTCTGAAAACAACGTAAAGATAGTCGCTTAGTAGCACGATGCTGTACGTTTCACCAATAAAAATTCTCCTCAAAATTAAAATCAGTTGAAGATTTTTAAACTCAAGAGAGAGAGAGAGCCAAATCGGAATCACGAATGTGTTGGATCAACATCTGGGGGCTCGAATTTCGACGCTATTATTAAGCTGATGTCATTCGAATTGTGTGGTGGCTGAACTTTATCGTCCTAACAAAAAAAACATGATTTTACAGTGTAGTATATTGGAGACAGGTTCTCCGCAGAATACAAATCAGAATAAAACGCTTCTAGTAAGTGTTTTTTCGTGGCATGCAGCAACATCCCTGTCTAGGACTTCTCAGAGCTAAATCAATCAGTTGAGTGATCTGAAATAACCGCAAGCCAGTTTCAATGTTATCATAATAAATGAGCGAAATTTCTCGGATTGCACCTGGAAATTCGCTGCGTTCTGAATGCGAATGCACTAAGGACTATAAAGAGACATCAGTAGAACAGAAAGTCAATCTTTGCTGCTGGGTTGCAATCATAAAGTCGGGCTTCAAAATGCAGAACGTAGCTGGAGAAGAAAACAGTGCCCTACGTGCTGAAAACGGATGTCTTATAAAATTTAGTTCTGCGTAATCAGCCATTTTTCATAAATTATTTACGTGAAAACCCGATTGTGGTACAATCCAAATGCGACGATAGTTTGGCCTTTGAAAATAATGTAGAACCTATAATAAGTGTTACAAAATGATTTTCATAAAGGAAACTACTCACAAGGTTGCTGAAAACTCTTCGACAGCCCACGACCGGTTTCGCCCTTCTTGGGGCTCATCAGGTAGGCGCAGTCCCGAGTTTCCGTCAACTTTCAACAGTCAACTTGAACCCCAATTGAACTGTTTTCGAGAAATACACTAGTTTGCAAATCAATCTGGTTTTCACGAAATACTCAACTGCATCTCTCGTTCATGAGGCAGCCTGTGTGCAGCACATTCAGTTGTAGAATATCATAAACGAGAGATTCAAGTAAGTCTCTCGTGAAAACCAGATTGGTTTTCAAATGAGTGTACTTCTCGAAAACAATGATTTTGTTTGGAATGTTTGTCATACAGCTTGATGGCTACTCAAACGATGTGACAGTACACTCTAAACCAATGAACACAGACTTCGGCAATACACTAGTAGCTGTACACTTGTTGTTTATTTATGGTTACTGTGCGGTTAGCAGTATAGTGTGTTGCCACGAAATTACTGAGTGAGCCTCTACTCCCAAATTTGTCGGATGTATATGAAGTGTACGGAAACACCAGAACATTGGTAGAAGCCAATTATCTTCATACGGACCCACGAAAATCACACCCTTAGGGTTTGTTGATCGCGGTTGAACCGAAAGATCTAACTGATATCTTAAATGAGCTCGCAATGGCTACGGAAGCGGGATCAACGGGATCAAGCGTTAGTGAAACCCGGTGTAGTATGTCGCTCTCTATTTGGCAGAGGCATCCTTGGACTTATGAAGCACGAAAAATAGTTGTGAATTTGAGCGAACTGTTGGAGGGGCGTCAGGTAAATGTGGTTGGTATTTCGGAATTAAGGATAACAGGATGCAATGTGCGGTTAAAATTCAAAGCAAATTAGACGCAATGTCTGGATTATGATCGGGCTGTTGAATAATGAAAGTCCGTCCTCAAAAAAAAATGGACGGCCACTGGCTAATGCTCCGCCGATGCGGCTACGGTATTCTCATAGCAGTCGGTATAGCCAATAGCCATTCTGTCGCTTTGCCAAATGCTAGAAGATGATGACGTAGACGACTGCCACTCTTTGAATATAATCATGATGAACAAAACCAGAAGGAACTCCCTCAAATAAGACGCAACAGGAAGCCCTTCACTCATGACAGTGAATAGAACTTTATGAAATTCTTCAACCAAATATATACGTGTTACCAGAAAATAGATTTTTGACCGCTAAAACCTCCATCATAAAGTGACAAACGTACCACAGAATGTTTACGGATGTATAGAGCTGCCCTTCTGAGCAGTTCAGCACACCATTATCAATAAAGAAGTATCAATGTATTCAAGTAGCTCATGAAGCCCCGATGTTCATGGAATATTACCTGAGATTCTATCTCAAGCCATATCAGTCGTAAGACTCAAAGTTTGTGGCAACGCATTGTTCAAAAGTTAGTGAGGCTTTCAGGACGGAGATAAGCAATCTAGCTGATATTCAACTTGCTTAACGGACATCTCTAGCTCACACATTGTTCTCTCATCCAATCGAAGTATATTTTCTTCGAAACATGTACACAAGGCTCCATTTTAGTCAAAAACCTTAAACTGCTCAAGACAACCTAACATTTTTCCGCACTACTTTTCGGGCGTCTGGTGATCCTAATGCAATTGCTTGTGCCATCCTTGGTGTATGGGTATTCTTTTCTAGAAAGGAACCCCCTCCATTATCGTCTTTGCACTGACCACTTGAGACAAGTTCAGTCAAGATCAATGCATCTCGACGAGGTAACAAGTGTCTGATTTTAGTGTCAGTCTGTGCAGTTTTACTGACGACAACAGTAAACGGATATAATGACTCGTGCACTTTCCTCAAATACCAAACACTGAAGAGTCTAATGATTGACAAGGGGCAGTAGTGACACCAGAAAAGCTGTTTAGCTGGAAACATTCGCATCCGATCCCAGATAAAAACGGTTGACTGTCCAAGGAGAGCGAACGTTTTTGAAACGATTACTGAAAATACTGTGACCTCAGTCCACTAGCGGAGTTGTCAGCTCGAAATGCGGGATGAGCGATTTCAAGAACATTTTAGCTAAACCTGATTAATTCAACCTGCAGAAGGTCCATATGAACACAAGCAGAACATCGACACCAGTTTCCCTTCAACAATTGAAAACCGGCGTGTCATTTCATCGCTTCGGCGCAAATGACAGTAATTTCTATGCTCGAAATAGCACAAGAAAACTATAGAGGAACAACCGGGACATAGTTCTGATGGTCACAACTTCCAAGGGACTTTCTGGTACTAATTTACTCAGGTTACCTTTTTATGGCACAAGCCTGAGACATCGGGAAAATTAACTTGATTTCCGCTTGGTTGGGGCCGCATGCGTCACTCCTTCCGACGATCAACAGTGACCGTATTTCTAGAGTTAAGAGCTGCTTTTGAGTTAAATGATTGCTAGAAACACTGACAGCATCTAAAGATTGTGGTATCCTTCACCAACTATTGTCGCTCTTAAGGGTTGAATATACTTTTCTCTCTGGACTTGAAGGTGTCTACTGCCTGTGGTGTCATCCTTCACTGTCAAGCAGAGTTGCCCTGTACTATCCATTCTACTTAACTTTGCAACCGATGAGCTCTTTGTGTCTCCTCCATTGCATCCTAGGTACAGAAATATTCTTGGAGTTTTAGTCTACAAACACTATATACTGACGGCTTTGCGCTTCTAGGACTTCACCTTCCAGAAGTGTGGATCATTTGAAAAACTCCACTGCAAATTAGGCATAAATTTCACATCCGTAAAACGTCATGTTGTTTCAGGACTAGGAGGGATGATACTCAGACGTCCGACCTACAGATAAATTGACCGATCTGGCAGACAAATTTACCGATATGAACAGCTATGTCTGTCCAGCTGTACTGTCGGTGGGTGAAATAATTTCACGATTACAGCGGTCAGACAGGGTTTGCCAACCCCCGAAAATTCTAACGTAACTTTGGCGTGGCTTTCTTCTTGCGGTTTGATCCGTCCTAACTCATGTTCTAACGATGGCCACTTCGTGCAGAACACTTTTCACACTCTCTAGGTTTGACCACTGGCCACGGCGAGGCATCACTGGAGTATGGGAGGAACATCAGGACAATTATGTTCAGGTACATTAAATGGTTTTCGTGAGTAGTAACTGTTTTTCAATAAAGTAGCTGGTCACATTCGACAGGCTACGCTGTTTAGGTTAGCTATTTCATAAGCCAGAGGACCGTTTGCATCGTCCAGTCAGAGAGGGTGGGCCGAGATCGGCCCATCCACGACTTGGCAACGGATTATGCCTATTTCCACCAGTCAGCGTATCCACTTGGGTAGCTAGTAGCTACCCGGATAAAAACCCGGGACAAAATAAATCAAAGCTACCATAACAGGTACAACTCCTTCATGCAGCCAGTGGAGATGCTCTATCAAAATAATCACATGCAGTGTGTAGCTCTCCAAAAATAATTCATTTAACTCTAAAGAATAAAGCTGTAGCAACATGAATCACCTTAGCTGGGAAGCTGAAAGATATCCCGTTTATAACAATGATAACAATAACAAATCTAACATACGGTCTCTTTGGGTGTAGTTTACTATATCCAGTCAAGTAAGTGGAAACTTGCACATGCCGATATTGGCTCATGTTCAAACCAGTCAGAATTGCAACTCTCCTTTCTTTAAACAACCAACATATTCACCACGAGACCTCATGCTGATTTCGGATAACCAGGACAAAGCGTCTTTTCGTATGAGCCTATGAATTGGTCTCCCTTATAACAGCTTCACTGTAACCACTTTTATGTTTTTCAGCTCCTCGTCTTGCTTCATACTTCAAAGAGGCTGGGGGAATTTGATGGGCGAAATATTCAAGCATTTGTACGTACACTGACCCGGTAGGTGATTTTTCTAGCGAACCAATGGAGATTAATGTAGAACCCATCGGATTGAAGATAACTGTAATAAGTGTCAAACAAGGTCTACTGATGAACATGTTTATTTCTGAAGCTATGCACGGAATTGGAGAATACAGGGTACACAACTAAGTTAAACGGGTTATTTGGGTTAGAATAAGGCCTCTAGAAATTTTGTTGCATTTTGCTATGGCGATTCTTGCTGTATAAATAGAGGCAAAGTTATTTGGAAATTAAATGTGCTAAGAATACACAGTGAATAGATAAAAGTCACCTGCCCGTAATGTGACAATTTATTGGTAAAAATCGAAATAGATATAAGGCACATCGTTTTCCGTTACTTGCCTAAATGGGCCTAAATGCCAGTAGGTAACCAACAGTTTTACTGCTGTTGTAGAAAAACTTAGGGATTTTGCCATACATAAAGCACGCCTTAATTCAATATTTTCTGTTCAGATGCAGCGAACCGCTTAATACTATTTGATCGTTCAGATTTTGTGGTTTCCTGTAATGGCATATGACAAGAGGATAATTCTTTGAATAATTTTGTTAGATAGGACTGGCCTGGGAAAACCTTATTACTGGTTCTGGCCATATCCCAGGGCAGGAATGACGAAACTACCTATCTCTCTTGAGATGGATGTACTGGGGGTAGCAAAAATTATTTACTGGTAAGCCCCTGAACACTGTTCCGCAGGTAGAATTCTGTGAGCTATGGTTAAGTTATTATTCTAGGTGACGGGCGCATTAGATCAGTTAGGCTCACTGCTCAGATATTATTGGAAAATTTTAATATTTTCACTAGAAAAATGATCATGGGTCGATTCCTGTTTTCGAACTCAAATGGAAGTCTGTTACTTAGTTAAAATTTCCTAAGAATAACACGAAAATGCACAGACGTCATAAACCAGTACTACTGATGGGCTGAAAGATAGAACCTGAATTCCGACTACTCAAAGAAGTGGTCTCCGCGATATGAGACTAATTTTTATCATCGTAATTTTCTAACCCAAAATTGTATACTCACATTGCGGAAATATGCACAAAAGCCCACAGTATGTTTATTTATTTAACCGATCAAGTTAGAGACACCAAAGCAGCCAATCAGATGCGAACAAATGACATCACAATGGAACGCACAGTCCACTGTGACCAACACAGTCACGCGAACACCACCGTGGGAGCAACCAATCACTTAAGAGCTACTGGAAACCGTTTTGTAAATACATAAGCACAGGCAGAAGAGGAAGAATTTACCCACTCAACCTCATAATGAAGATTTCACTCGGATAGGTGATAAAACGTTTGAAATTCAACCACCAATCCCGGGGAATAGACTAACAACAAAATATACGATACGTATTTGCACATACTGTTTACGAAAGCAATAGGAACAGGTTTCTAAACCAGTCAGACATTCCTAAGCCTGCTAGCATCAATAGGACTTACTTCATTACGCTCCCCCAGGTAGGCTTGGTACGCACTCCGGCATGCACACAGCTGTTGGAAAGTAACATATACAATTAGCTGGTCAGCCTACAATCAGCGCAGGAGTAAGGTGTGCATTATTAGATTTCTCGATTTATACAACGTAGGAAGGAGAATTAATAAAGCGAGACTTGTGACGAAATAACTTACTAAACTGGCAGACGGCACTGGTTATTTCAGGTTCGTCTGTCACAAATCGGGCTTAACAGGAAAGATATTTGTAAAGAAAACTTTAGTTAGGCAAATACTGATCAAACATGGCAGTGATAGCACATCAATAATTCGTTTAGCCTGCGCCTTACTGGTTACACACTTTTCATAAATGAAAAAAAAAACAAATAAAAACGTGTACTTAAATATCCAAAAAATAATGCCGCAGGTTTCGGGGTTTTATAGACGATGATTTCATTGACTGGACGTTGGCATCTTGTACCACTTTCATGCAACAGATATACTTCCTAATATGCATACGATATCCGATGGGCGAACATCATCGGAACAAGGTCATCCCTCTGAAGGACAGTAACGTTTTACTTCATTTCACCTTAGCGTCCAATAAATAGCTTGAGCCCTTTAAAAAAGAGCGTATTTTCGGCTGAACAACCAAATGTAGACAAGTATGTCGTGCAAGATTCAATGAATTATTCTTCACGATTGAAATAACCGAGTTTATCCGGCATTTTTTTCTTCTGTTGTTTGTATACATAGCGGCTTTATCTGATCACTCATTGGGTTTTATTATTTGTCTACTCTGATTGATAAGTGAACAATGAGCAGACGTCTGACGATGGTTGTTAATTACCGGGATTAAGCTTACTGAAAACTGCCGACGAGTTAGAACCAGAACCTAAATCCCGGCGCTTCTGTGTGAGAAGTGGTAATGTGGTGGGGAGGCGATGGGCTGAAACATAGCAAAGCGAAGAACCTGGTCATTTATGTCTACAGTACTGCGTATCATTCGACTGATTTGCATCGCCATACGTTGTTGACAGCCTGTTTGCAAACAAGTGACTTTCAGTCCACACAGAGCGTGAGAACTCGATTCCACGGATTTCGCGGAACTGTGTATCTTAGTTTAGTGGTCCGGAAATATTACTATTTGAATGCTCGAGTTTATACACTCTAAAATCTGTACAACCCGATAGGGCCTCTAGAATTTGCCTATCGTTCTTCTGCAATGTACTGAAAACTTTCGGCTGTCATTTATATTAGCAGTGCGCCAAATTATTTTCTAAAGAGCCACGTTTGAGGGTACACTAAAAACAAGCAGCTACTTATTGATTAGAGCATCAAGAAGAATTGATGCGATTTGCTAAACATAATGTTCATATATAGATATGTTTCAGTTAACAGCAAGCATACTACTTACTCAGTTGGATAACAATATCCTCAGTACCCAGATGCTGCTTCAAAGAATGACCTAAGAAGGGTTGTGAATGATTGTTTAAGACACCGGACCAACAAGGGATTTTTAGATTTATTAAGCACAAAATAAAGATGGATAGAATGTAGAACATCGCTGATAAAGATACTATTAACTTACTGTATGATCGATGGCAAGTCTTAGGGTAGAGCGGGGCCACGCCCAAAGCAGCTACAGTTAAGAATGAATTAGAAAATATATTAGTTTTAAGCTCATATAGAAATTAAGAAACCAAATGTGTACTGAAGAAAATGAGCCTTGGTTAGTCTGTTCGAAATCCGCAAAGAATAACTTTAAGACCCTGGATTTAGTTTGATAGCATCAGGTTTTTCCTTACAAATCAAACTAAGTAGGATAAATACTGTCTCTACTTTAGCTTTCCTCCGGGGTTTAACAAAATACCAAGGTTACTTACTGTACGCTTTTGTGAACTCATCAACCACAATGTTGGCCGTCACGTGGATAGCTGTGATGCAAAGAAACGAAGTTGAAATTTTTAATACTTGGCAAAGAATATCATGAAAGTAAATAAGTTGTCTTGACGAACTGAAAAGCACACCAGTAGATCAGTAAAAAGTTAAACTTACGGAAAGTGACCACCACACAGGTCGACTCTATTGGGAGCGTTTGGTACACCGCTAGATTGAATAGAACGGTTTACAAGTTTAGTAACCAACGGGCCCATTCCAAAAGGGTTGAGTTGTCTCTTTGGTTGACTATGTAAGAATAAAAATTGGACCTGTACTATAAACGAAGTGTGTATATTGATGAAACTCATAGTGATCAACTGAATGATTCCGCGTAAATGTAACACTTACCATAGTTTGTAGACACGGTGTCCGTTCCCATCTCGGGTGGTAGATAGGCAGCTGTAATAATTCAATTGAGTGTGTTTAGCGACAAGTTGAACATGAGCTCAATGCCCATTCTGATAATCACTGCAATTAAAACTAAAAATAAGGCTTGTTAATACCCTGTAGTTGGATTTATATCGTGAAGAAATTTCAGTGAACTTAAGGCTATGGTATAGTTTTTTCCATTTCTCCATCTGGATATTAGAATTTTAGTAAGAAATTTATGCCATATCCAATGCAAACAGCCATTGCACACATCAGTCTTTTGCCCGCAAAATGTTTCGGAAAATAGTAGGAGTATACCAGTTGACGGAAGAAGTTAAAGAATAAAGCGCACATTTGTCCACTCACTGTATTTCGCGGTCAGTTGAATTGCTTTGGTGTAGCCCGGAAGGATCACATCTACAGATGGACAAGAATAACTCATGCAAATTATGTAATAACTTGAGAGACCCATGAGTATAGAACTTTGTAGGAAACGCCTTAGAGAAGTGCTGAAAAAGGCATTGAAAAGACGTAAGTCTTCGACGCCGACTGTAACTTTCCACATCATTCTCACGTACGGTCACGCACAATGATCATACAGTAAGTTTTTCTTAAGATGGGAGTTGTGTTTCACCCGGTTTCACTAACCGTAATTATAAGCATTTTACTTTTGCCGCTTTGTACGTACTGTAGTAGGTGACGCAACTTCATCGTTTCCTAATAATAACAGGCTCATCAGTGCATTATTGTGATGTTTAATTTAGTGAAAAAAGATGGACCCGTGTTACAGAGTATCGAATAGTCGATTAAGGAATCCACATCGCTGGTGCCAATCTGAAGCTGCTGCAGATTTGAGCAGCAATGCCAATCGGTAGAATTAAAATGCAACAACACGAAGACTTTAAAAATTGAAGGATATTTTGTTGCCAATGAGGGTCACATTCCAAAGTCTAAAGGCAGGGGAGTTTCGTAAAAAGTTGTGATCTCGGATGCTCAACCATGCAGTTGATTGGTATTCACCTTGCTTCTTTGGAGCAATAACCAAATAAATTTTACCAAATTCACGGCAGGTCGACCACCGGAGCAACAAGTAGCACAAGTCGGTTAGATCATTTTGGAAATCGCGTGTCCTCCTAATGGTTGCCAATCTTCGCAATTATGTAATATCTTTGAAGGACACCAACAATTTAATGTTCTTTATGATCTAGCGAAGCTTTGAGAGCACTGAGGCT